AAAATATATTAACATTATTAATTTATAAAATTATTAAAAATATATTAACATTATTAAAAATATATTAATATATTAAAATTATTAAAAATATATTAACATTATTAAAATTATTAACATTAAAAATATATTAACATTATTAAAAATAATTTATTTAAATAGTTTTGGAGAGGTTGTTGGTGCCACGTGGCTTTCAAGTTGAATTGCAAAATTTGCAATTTGAATCCTACRTGGCAGCAATTGTCTGACAAAAATGGTTTTGCAATTCAATTTGCAAGCCCCTATGTGGGTGCTCTTATAAGTATATCTGTATGTAAGTATGTTCATATTAATTTACTTATTATATTTTAGTACATTTGCAGATACTTTCTTTTTCTTCTAATTGTCATACTTAGAAGATGTTTTTATATATATTTTAAATTTTTAGATGTAATTTCTTGTTTTTTGAAAAAAATAAGCTAATATAAACAAGCTTATTGAAGTGCTACCCTTTTTTTTATCATTTTTTTTTCAATTACAATCCTCATTATTAGTAATTTTAAATAAATATTAATAATATTTAAATATTAATAAAATTAAGTAATATAAATTGAAAATTAATTTTAATTTTAATCATACATTATACATTAATATTATTTACGTTGTCACACTCTCTTCATTCCAGAGGTGCCTATCCTTTGCACAGTGAGACTCTCGTCTTTCCAACTGGGGAATTTCTCTCAAAATGAGCCTTGCAACGAGACTCGAACATTCCCCATGACCTTCCCTAGGGCTTCAACAATGTCTATTCAGAGGCTTATAAATTAGCCAATAACACTTTTCATTTTAGAAATCCGAGTCTTAGTGGGATCGGTATCGAGATAGCAGTTCGAGGAGATTCCTTGCTTGGATCATATCATACAAATAAGGCAGCACTGGATGTATAAAAGTCCTTATCAACTTATTATAAGCTAGAAGGATTTAAGTACTTCAAAAACTCCTTATTATCGGTTTAGTACCGATTTAAACTGTTTATCAAAACATTTAAAAATGCTTATTACCGATGTCGACATTTTGAACTAATCTGTGTTTTTGAAACATTTTTTTGCGAGGAAAAGAAAGGAAATCTCAACTCGGAGCATCCGCAGAAAGGTCGTTGGACGTCCCACCATCGTAATACGCTAGTAGCTGTGTTTTGCTTGCGAAAATCTCAACTCGTGAGAAAATCAATGGAAGCGACCCACGGCGGCGAGAAGGGAAAGAGCCGGTTGTGTAGCATCTGCAATCAACGAAGGCCTGCTCTCAAACGACCTAAAACCCTTCAACAAGTAATACCCTACTTCCTTCTTCGACACCTCTTTTCTCTTCGATTCATAGTTCCTTCATATATCTGTTTATGTAACTTGTGCTTGATAGTTTTCCACGTTTGTGGATTTTGTTGCCCAATCAATTCATTTAAATCGTAGGAGTTGAAAAATGAAGCAATTTAGTTTTTTCGAGAAGTAAAAAGTTTGGTTCGTAGCTTGGTATGCCCTTGATTCCTTCCAAAAGGGGAAATGGAATCGGTATGGAGGTTAAACGGACAAATTTCTTCGTTTCAAAATTGATGAAAGTTTTGTTAAACTTTCAAGAAAAGCGATCATATCAGTATATTACATTAAACTCTATGCTTCACAAATTCTGCTTAAAAATCAAGGTTCTAAATGACACAAAATTGGGCATTTTTTAGGGGTGCCCTAAGGCGGCATATGTATAGACACATATTAGTGTTTTGAATAACACCATAGAATAGATTTAATTCATATAAAGTAACAAAAACTAAAAAAGAAAGAAAAACCGTTAGATACCAAATATATAGAACTTATAGGAAATGATATGAAGGGAGCAAAAGCGGGATTAAATCTCTTGAATCTCTACTATTGCTTTCTTCAAACAATTCGTGTTCGAGTTTTCGTTTGCGGGAATGGGAGTAAGTATGTACCTATTTAGGGTTGTAGTTTTCAAGCTTTCCTTTTTATGTTTACTTAAGTCTTAGGTGTCATACATAATTATCATTTATCCCTCAAGTTATATATTCAAAAACCCGCACACCTTACAAAATAATGTGTTGTAACGCGCCATAACACATTACAATGCAAACCGAGCCTAAGAGTGGAGCTGCAGGGGTTAACGTGGAGGCAAAGCGAAGCCCATAATGCTCCACACTAGTTATTTAGAACTGTGGTAAAAATAATATGTTAAATTTTATTGCCATAATATGTAACCACATCTTTACTAATCTTGAGTTTGTGACCTAACCAAATTGGGTAGAGCTCTTATTTGCATTGGACTGAGTCCCTTCTCTGCAATTTTTTTGTGATTATGCGATTTTGTTAACCCCAAAAATATTAGGTGTTGTCAAAGAAGACAAGTGCTACATATTATCTTAGAACTACAGAGATGGAAATTGAAACATTCAAGAAAATAACTGAAACAGAAGAACTAATAGATGAATCATTGATCCAAATTCATAGTTATATGTTTGCTTTTAGTATTTGTAGCTAAAACTTTTGTTGGGTATTAAGATTTGCAAGGAATGCTTCTATGAGGTATTTGAAGAAGAGATTCACAGGGTGATTGTGGACAATAAGCTGTTTAAACCAGGGGAACGCATTGCCATAGGAGCCTCTGGTGGAAAAGGTGAATTTTTTACTTGCAAAATATATTATTTGCTTGAAACATGCTTTATTTTGGTAAGCTATTGAACTTATACAAACTTAAAATGTGAAAGCGCTGAATGGTCATTGACTTGTACCATAATTTGGTTACATAAACTTGATTTTAGGAAAGCAATGTGAAATCTGTATGATGTATGCTGAACCGCAGTAGCTATGGACTGGGAGTGAGAATGACTTTTTGTATCGAATATTCTACAAATTCTGTTACAATTTTTTTTGCGGGATGACCATGGATGCAACCTCCCTTTCTTTTCAAAGCTTCAAGCGAAAATTTCATTTTACCCATGAGTGATCTGATCGAGATATGAATAAATTTGATTCTGGCCCACAAGATTCCCTTTAGTCATGGTAAGGGATATTAGATATTTAACGAATAGTCGAACTATTGAACTATGTGGATAGTCATGTGTTGCCAATATTTTGGTAGCCAGAGGGAGTATTTGATTTATGCTTCTATAATTTTTTCCTTTATTTGAAATTATATGCAGATTCCACGGTTCTTGCGTATGTAATGTCAGAACTAAACCGTCGGCACAACTATGGCTTAGATCTTTTTCTCCTATCAGTAGATGAAGGGATCACAGGCTACAGGGATGACTCGCTCGAAACTGTTAAAAGAAATGAGGTTCAGGTAAAGAAAAGCTAAAGTTATCTTCAAAGCTGCTGTAGTTCAAAATTACCCATAACTTCAAGTACATTTTATTCATCAGAAATAAAATTTAAACATAAACACAAATATCAATGGTCTAATAGCTAGGGGAAAAAGTAAGAAAGAACCATGGTTCAATGGTGCCAGCGTGTTGTCATCTGCATTCTAGTAGAATGGTCATTTAGGGTGCGTTTGGTATCTAGACAGGATAAAACATGACAAAACAGTTGTCCAGCTTTGGTAAGACAGAACTGGACAGGATAAAACGGTTAAAATGACCAATTTATCCCTAATGAGTTGTTTATATATTTTGTTTAATTATGTAAGTTATTAAATTATAATAAAATAAATATTTTTTTATAACAAAATATATCATTAGAATTTTTTTTGTCATGACGATTAAAATGACACCAAAATAAAAAGTTGATATAGTTTCCAATTTTTATTTTACACCTTTTCTATATTATTTTTTATTATTGATATTTAATAAATTACATGAATTAATCAAAATATAGAAACTGTATAAAAATAATATTTTGAGGACAATAAAGTGGAGTTTAAAGAGCATATAATTAAATAAATAAAATTTAACGAATGAATAAAATGTAAAAAGGAAGGTGTATTTGATGTTTTAGAAGAGAATTAAGTTTTATTTTGAGGTTATATTGGTAAAACATAAGTTTGTTCCACCTTGTTCCATGGGTTGGGGGTGGAAGACGCCTTTTCTACTCCGTTCCACATAAAAGTTCTGCCAAACATTGAATCCATGTCCTGTCCTGTCCAGTGTATCAAACGCACCCTTACAACTTAAAAAGTTCACTCGACCGTGTTCTTTAGTGTTCATAATTTTTCAGTTTTTACTTTGCAAAATTCTGTATAATTGTCTGTTTTACAGTATGGTCTGCCGCTCAAAGTCGTATCCTATAAGGATCTGTACGGATGGACAATGGATGAGATTGTGAAGATGATTGGTCTTAAGAACAATTGCACATTTTGTGGTGTTTTTCGCCGCCAGGTGAGCAATTTTCAATCCAATTTATTTAGATATAATCTGAGTCATCAGTTTATCAGCAGGGCACAACTGGGACTTGGAAAAAAGTTGGGATCTTTGGATGTCATGTGCATAACTATTGCCATTTTCTTTAAAATGAGCTTGATGTTTAGTACTTGGATTTTCATCTTAAGGCTCTTGATCGTGGCGCCGCCTTGTTAAAAGTGGACAAACTAGCTACTGGGCATAATGCTGATGATATTGCCGAGACAGTTCTCTTGAATATTTTGCGAGGTGACATTGCTAGGTAATTTATTCATGATTCTGATTCATTTTATTATAATTGTAATGCAATTATCTCCATGTGACTGTTAATGTACTTGTGGTTCTGGTTATAGATTAAGCCGATGCACATCTATAATTACTGGTGAAGATGGACCGATTCCTAGATGCAAGCCATTTAAGTACACATATGAGAAGGAAATCGTTATATATCCTTCTATGTTAAACCCTCTTCATTATTTTTAAGTGCATTTTTTTGGTTTCCTTCGGTGATACATTCTCATTCATCTAGCTTTTGGTGTTGCAAAACCTTAACAATTGGTTACGTATGCATACTTCAAGAAACTGGACTACTTTTCAACCGAATGTAAGTTTGTCGTATACCCTTCTGTCAGTCTTTTTATGGCAAAAGTTGAAGATAAAATCACAATTTGCCCGTTGCTATGTTGATTTTGATCCTCAAAATTATTCCCATTTTGTTATCATCAAAAGGGGTTCTAGACAACTTACCAGTAGTCAACTAGGGTTTGATTCCGGTGAGAATTGAAGTTATGGTGAGAAGGGTGAGAAGTGATCTCCACCCTTGGATCAATCCAAATTAAAGATCAACGGTAATGAGATGCACCAGATCAATTCCCGTGGGAAGCGCAATTCATGGGGTGGGGATTAGATTAAAAGTGATCAAGGGTCCAGATCCTTTCTTACATTTCTCACCTTTAACTCCTATTCTCACATGATCCTTCGTCTAGTCAACTATATGTATTGAATTATGCCTTGAGTAGGAAGTTGCAACTTTCATGGGACTGAGGTAGTGGAAGATAAATAAACTAAATTGAGAACATATAAAATAAAGAAGTATGCAATTTGCTTCAATTTTTTTATCTTACGAGCTTTGATAAATGCAGGCATATATTCACCAAATGCTTATCGTGGGTTTGCTCGGGAGTTCATTAAAGATTTAGAGAGAATCAGGTTGTTTGATAATTGTGCATCTTTTTGCTCGAGTGATCAATGTTTCCAACTATCTTATTTGGCTTATTAGTGCAAACAAATCATCGTTATTGTTTTATGCTAGAAAAAAGACACAACTTTGTCGGTATAAACAACAGTGGATCAATTGTGGAAATGTAAAACATAAAAATAACCATCATGCCTGGCACTTGAAAGTGGTGTTTTCTATTGCATTTTGGCAATAATGATGATTTGTTTGCACAAAGATCACTATGGTTCGAAATCTTTAATTACTCATTTAGGGCCCGTTTGTTAGCAGCTTAATGGGACTTACCGCTTATTCGGTGAGCTATATATGACTGTTTGTAGTGGCTTAATGATATAGAAAGTGGATTATTCAGTAAGTATTTTAGGAGGGAGCTTTAGAAAATGTTTTAATATTTGATATATAACTGAATACAATCATTAATTTGGTTTAACCTGAATTGTGTAACGATATAGACCCCGAGCCATACTTGACATCATCAAATCAGGTGAGGATTTCAGGATTGCGACGTCTACAAAAATGCCGGAGCAGGGAACTTGTCAACGCTGTGGCTATATTTCTAGCCAGGTAAGTTTGTTCTGTAACTTGTAGAGATCAACGTTGAGTTGGTGGTCTTCAATGTGGATCGAATGAGGAATTTTTCTATATATGATCATAGTTCCAATAAACCCTCTGAACATAATTTAGGAAAATGTTTTGACTTTTTGTGAAATCTTTAAAATGCCCTTCAAAGATGAGACAAGAAGAGAATCTTGTGGATATCAATATGATCTATTTCTTGTAACTACTCAAGGCCACTGGGGATTTTCCTAACTGTTATCTTCAGAGTCCCATGGGATTAGTCAAGGTGCGTGCAAGCTGGCCCGGATACCCACAGAAAAAAAACTCTCCATTCATTTGGTTGATTGATTTCTGAAGAGAGCATAATCGATCTTGATTATCAAAGAGCTAGATACAAACTTCATCTGATTTCAGCATCGTATGCAACGTGTTATAAGCTTTGTGTTTTTTGTAAACTCGCAGAAATGGTGTAAAGCTTGTGTTTTGCTGGAGGGGCTGAATCGTGGTTTGCCAAAGCTCGGGATTGGGAGAACTCGAGGTGTAAACAGCAAGCACCAAAAGGATGATCAACAGATTGACACAAAGAATATACAGAGCAAACCATGTGGAACTCTTGATTTCTAATACAGAATCTCTCTCCATTTTTAGTTCTAACTTGAATCCTTCAAATTGGTGAGAAAATTTAAGCTCCATTTTTGCCTTTGTGTTTATGCTAAACAGATTATTGGCATGTATCTTATTAGGATCTTGAGGCTTTCCTTCTTGTAGTATTCAAGAAGCCAAATAGTGTTTGATTTAATGTTCATTTGAATAGGACATACCAATTATGTAATTATAGTTACTTTTGTGGTTAAATTTTAATATTGAATTATCTATTTTGCTATTTATTTAATAAATTTTAATATATGTGAAAAAAAATAATACAATATTTGACTTGCTAAATTGTTTATTCAAGAGTAAATTGCGATTTTAGCTCCTATGAATTACATACTTAAAGAAGGGAATTAGTTCAGGGATGAAATAACAATAAATTACAAACCATAGGAACGGAAATTGCAAAAATAGAAACCACAAGGACAAAAATAGAAATTATTAACAAACCATAGGAACGAAAATTGAAAACTGCTACCCAAAGTTAACAGTTAAGTAAATCTTTGGTGCATGGAGATGCACATAAAACCGAAACCCGAAGTCTGGCTCATGCTTGGCCTAGAAAAGCCTGGCTTGACAATGCCTCAAAAAGTCTCGAAAACCAAAAAAGTTATGCTCGAAATAGTCTCGTCATGCTCCTTTTCAACCTCAAAGTCTAGTCCAAGCCTAAAACAGCTCAGACCCTTTTTATCTCATTGAAAATTGGCTTGAGCCTCTTTCAGATATGAATCTATCTGATTCAGAAGGGAAGAACTTGTATCAGTATCTCAATTTCAATTCAAACACGGGTTTGATTCACACTCCATGTTCTGAGAAATATTTACCATCCGAAAAGAGGAAAAAACGGAGCCTTTGTCTAAAGAAATGCGTTGAGAAAGGGCAGATATATAGAACTTTTCAACGAGATAGTGCTTATTCAACTCTCTCAAAATGAAATATATTCCATACATATATGCCATGGTTCTTTACTTCAACAGGGTACAGATATCTAAAGTTTTTATTTATAGATACTTTTTCAGACCTATTACCGATACCAAATATCAGTAAAAAATTGAAAAAACTCGGGTCTTGTGCATTTTTAAATGCAGCTAAAAAAATTTGAACTGATAAAGAAATTACAAGGGGTTAAAGTGCAATACTTCCTAATTATTCTCAAAATTATTGATTCTTAATTGACCAAAGCATGCATGATGCTCCACCTTTGATACCAAAACAATGCTATCCACTCAATAACAACATTCCCCCCAAAACACCATTTAAATCATGTGCCAACAAACAATGAAACCTTCCCTACCTTCCATTTTCTTTTGAGATTCTTTCTCCATTTTACCTTTGCATTGTTTCATCTAAGAAAAAGGGTCGGAAAGAAATGGCATTCAGTGGAACAATACAGAAATGTAAAGCATGTGATAAGACTGTTCATTTTGTTGAAATGGTTTCTGCAGACGGAATCCCTTATCACAAGACATGCTTTAAATGCACCCACTGCAATGGAAAACTTGTGGTATATATATATTCTCCTCCGTTGGTGTCTTATGAATAAAATACATTATATCGACTTTTGGTAAAGAAACACAAATAGTGTCAGCTTAATTTTCAACGTTAAATTGAAATACAGTTTCTTGATAATCATGATATCAAGATGTCGAACTGGGTTTGTTAGAACTTTGGAACCCGTTGCAACCATGTATTCGTCTCTTCTTAATATTACATTAATATATATATATATATATATATATATATATGTGTGTGTAATTTTGAAATATTGTATTGTGTGTTAGATGAGTAGCTACTTTCAATTGGATGGATCTCTCTATTGCAAGCCTCACTTTGATCAAAAGTTCAAGGAGATGGGAGGCATCTCAAGAATACCATGTGAGCTTCTCCCAAATTCTTTTTATTAACAAAATATTTCTTTAACAAACATAAAATAATACAACGATTTATTGTTATTGTTGTTGCTGTTTTCTCTGACTCAAATTTTTATGGTTATCAGCTGCAAACAAAGCAAGTGAAATGGTACGTAAACTATTTACTTATGTCTCTTATATTACACACATATGTACCGTTGGGTTAAGAGAAAAACTATAAAAAATGAAAAACTGAGAAACACTTTAATGCAAATTATTCATTTGTTATGCATATGTGCATAAACATAAATTGTTTAGTATGCACAAGTGCATAGAAACCATGTAACATTTTCAATTACGTTTATGCACATGTGCATATCCGACAAATAAATGGTTATTACTTATTAGGGTGTTCTTCAATTTTTTTGTGGTTTTCCCCTGAAATAGAGTGCATATCCGACAAATAAATGGTTATTACTTATTAGGGTGTTCTTCAGTTTTTCAACTTTTTTGTGGTTTTCCCCTGAAATAGAGACTTCGGATCGTGTGAGGATAATAGTTACAATAAGAATGATGAGAATACTTTTAAGTCTTGGGATCATTTGACTCTTTGACCTAACTTCATCTATCTTAAACTACCTTTATCTTTACTTTTAGTCATTTTCATGAACTTTTACATATATTTAATAATTTTCGCATACATGAATTTGTAAATGTTTCGGTTATGGTGAAAGTAAATATAGGTAGATGAAGTTATATGATTATATATATATGTGTGTGTGTGTGTGTGTGTGGAATGGTACAAACGAGAATAACTTCATTTTACGAGAACGTGAGAACACCCTTTTTACTATAAACAATCATATGTGATACTATTATTCCATCACATATGATACACATGTGATACTAAATCAGAGACGCGGACGATTTTTGATGCGATCTTGGTTGCAGGCCAAGTCGCCCTTACACACTAAGCCATCTCACAAGTATTATCACATGTGATAAGGGTGTTGTTGATATGATACTATAATCCGTCAAGACCATCGTATGTGATGGTAAATCATAGACGCAGACAACCTTTGGCGCAACCTAAGTCGTAAAACACGTCGTCCACACATCACAGGGTCCCATTTTGTGTATTATCACATGTGATAAGAGTGTTCTCGCATTTTTGTAATGGAGGTGTTCTCGTTTGAACCTCCACCTATATATATATATATATATATATATATATATAGGATTGGTTCAAACGCGAAGCTAATCGTTTTGCGAGAAAATTGAATAGATCCTTAAAGCAGAATAATGATTCCTCACAGTTTCCCTATCCCACTACCAAACCTACCCTTGGGAGGGAACAACAGCTGAAACGACTGCTAATACCTCGTAGGCTGATGAGCAAAAGGAGGAATTCGCCCGAGGAGAGACTCGCATCTGATTACTTATATACGATTACAAGCATGATACTCAAGCTTAATCATATATATGATTACGCACATGATGCATTATGACACAGACGTTTAATTATATATGATTAAACGCACCCAATTGCGTGTAATCATATATGATATTGAAACTTCTCGTAAAAAAGAACCTTTTGTTTAAGGAATTAAATTTGTGTTAACAGGGAAGGAACCCTAGCAAATTGTCTTCCATGTTCTCTGGGACTCAAGATAAATGTGCAGTTTGTCATAAAACGGTCTATCCATTGGAAAAGGTTTGTCACCATTGGCCCTTCAAGTTTTAATATTCTCTATTTGATCCAATAAGTTTCAAAATATGCATAATCAGTCCCTAATGTTTATATATATAGATATTAAGTGCAATTAAAGGAGAATGATTTGTAGGTGACTGTGGAGGGAGACTTTTACCACAAACAATGTTTCAAATGTGCACAAGGAGGTTGCAAACTGACTCCGTCTAATTACGCTGCTCTGGACGGAAATTTGTTCTGTAGGCCACACTTTTCTCAGCTATTTAAAGAGAAGGGTAATTATGCTCACCTCAAGAAAGCAGCCTCAATGAAGAAAAACGAATCTACGGAGAAATTAGCAGACCAGGTGACATCCGAAGAAGGAGCACCAGAAGCGTCTGAATAAGTAAAAAGAGTAATATAAACGACATATGTAAATGTAAAACGAAAAATGTTTGTTGTTTACCCTAGTTAAACCCACCTTTGATTTCGGTTTTGAATTGATGTCTTGACAATTTGTAACGGTTTTTGTTCATGTGAAAATATAGTACAGATGGTCATAAAATAAAAATATGATTAACTGATTTGTTTTGGTTAGCAGTTTGTATCTTTATTGTTTGATTACATTTGATATGGCTCGCAAAAAGTACATGCTATTGATGATAAACACAAGAGTGATTTTAAGGGTGTGTTTAGTACAGGGTCGAAACTGAATACTAGATGAAATTGGACCAGACCAGACCAGACTGGACTGACAAGAAGCAAAGTATGCATTATATTTTTAATTTGTTATGGGTAATTTAGTAATTTACCAATCTTGTTCACTTTCCTTAATTTTTGTTCTGATGGTACAAAAAAAATACATTTTTATGTCATTCAATTGGTTTTATCTGGTCTATTATCGTAAAATAAGTTTTTGTTGTATATTTTTCGGTGTTGTTATATGCACACCTATTTATATCGAAGTCAGGTCAAAAACATACATTGAAATTATAAAAAATAAGTTTTAATTTTGATTCGTGTGAGATGAAAATTAGTAGGTAGATTTGAATTTAGCAATTAGAAGGTGTATTTAAGAGTTGCTCATAGGCAGTGCGGCTTGCTAAACCCCGCCCACTCCGCTAGCTAGAAAAACGGGCTTGGACAATCATTCTCAAAAAATGGGCGGGCTCGGGCTGGATCGCTAAAATTGATGTGCGGACTTGGGCAATAAAAAAAGAATTTGACAGACCCGTCCAACCCGTTATATTTTTAATTAAATCTATATATAAATTAATAATTTTACTTCTTTTTATCAAAACTTAGAAGTGCCTTTGAGTTGGATTCCCGCTACACCAACCATCATCTAAATATATATAATATGTAATATGTTATATAGTACGACTCGAATCTCAATTTTGAAATATTAGGTCGTTAATATTTTGTTATTGGAAACATCCGGACTTTGAAAGTTGATAAATCATCGTAAAGAAAATGTCCATGCTCCTATTGAGAAACTGTTTTTTCGTACTTTATGTATATTGGTATCTTTTACGTCTAATTTTATACTGGAAATAAATTATGTAATTTATATGATTTTCACAACTTATGATTATATATATGTTTTGTTTACCAAATGTTAAAAATAGACCCGTTAGCCCGTGGGCAAGCCCAACATATTTATAAGACGGGTATGAGTAAGTTCACAGGTCCGTAAAAACGGGTTTGTGTTTGCCATATTAGACCCGTTGGACAAAAAAAATTATGTTAGCCCCGACCCAAGCCCGCAAATGATCGCCTCTAGTGTGTAACTACTAACTAGTATACCACATATTTTTTTCATAGGTAGGTTTGCCTATTAATTTTATCCTCACACACGTTGACGTCAAGACTTATTTTTTACATTTTTAATGTATAATTTGATTTGATTCTAACATGAATAGAAGGGCATGTAACAAACACCATTTTTGGGAAATTAATAGAAATAGTCATTTTCAGGTACAATTTTATCTCTTAGCCATTTATCTTCTCAAAATTTCCAAAAAGTCACTGCCTCTGCACGTGACAACCTCTCAACTTGCGGATGGATCAACATGTGAAAAAAAGTTTCTGAACATGGTCCGTATGTATAGAAACCAAATATGTAAAATAATCTAGATACTTCCACAAGGAAGTGCCAGGACACAACCTAATTTACATGTTTGGTCCTTGTACTTGCAAATCATGTTCAAAAACTTTTTTTTTATTTTTACATTTTAATCCATCGGTAAATTGAGGAGGTGCCACTTACGTGAGATAGTGATGTCTTTGAAATTTCCAGAGAGAAATGACTTAGAGATGAATTGGTCCTGATAATAACTATTTCTATTAATTTCTCCACCCTTTTTTTCATGTTTTTTGTATGTTTTTAAAGCTTTTGCCTTTGACGTGTAACTCAGTTGACAAATATATAAGATGACTTTGTTCAAATACAAGTCAGGTTAGGCTCAATCGCCGAGTGAGTAAATTATATTCCGGCACATGAATCTCTTTGAAGACGAGTTGCTTTCGGAACCGGTTGAAGTCGTTGGTAATCCACTTTTGCCCAAATTTTTTGAAGCTTTTATTTGAATAAAAACAGAAAATTCAAATAGTAAAAAATCCCATGCTCCTAGCACCAGGATAAACCCACAACAGACATCAAAAAGACGCAGGTGTAGCTGCTCTGGATGTGGTTCTGGTTTTCCTGAAAATGGACAGATTCTCTATCACCACTGCTACAACGACCAACGCTTCGACCTTGCGATTCTCTATTCCTTTCCCTCATAAACAACTTAGAAAATTTGGAGTTTTTGCTGCTAAAGATGACAATAAACTTGGCAATTGGGATCAAATGGAGCGTAAGTTTGGTAAATTAATCGGTGAAAACCCCAAACTTACCCTCGCCAAGGTCCGATTCTCTCTCCTTTCCTATCTGTAACTATATATTTATGTTTATGTGTGTGTGTGTGTGTGCATATATGATTGTGTGTAAATGTAGGGCGGTGTTGAACTGCTTTGAGTAATTCTTGAGGTGTATGATTATAACAACATGTTGGAAAGATGGGTCTATTGTATCTATTAGTTGAAAATTGGTAATATAAGTTGAATTTTATGGTTAGTTTGATTTGAGTATTGTTCAAATTGGTATTGATTATATGAACGATTCTTATCTGAACCCTTAGAGATGCAATTTGTGTTCTAAATTGGTTTGGTTCTTTGATGATTATGGCACTTCAATGCTCATTTTGGGGATTGAACCACTTCCTTCATCTATATGTTCCCTACATGTTCCACGAAAGTAGATACATTTGGACCTTTTGGTTCCTAACCTAATTTTCTCCATGAAGAAAAATTCTGGATTCTTTTGCTATTTTATCATCTCTATAATCTAAATCCTGTTTTAGTTGTAAAGGGTATAATCTACAATGAAAACATGCCATCAGAGCATTCATAGGGACTATTTGGTTGGTTTTCCATTAAGTCGGATAAAGTTGTTTGTGTGGATTAACCTGTCTATATAGCTTGGGAAACTTTTTGTTTGGGAGGTTTTTTCATAAATGGAATAAACATGTTTTTAATTGGGAGGGGTAGCCCCGGGAAAAACTTGGCTTTTTGCATAAAACTCCCCTAGAAGCTTACTTAATAAGTCATTTTATATATCATCAAGCCACTACCAAACAATCATGTATAGCTGACCGAATAAGTTGTGAGTTTCATTAAGCTCATTAAGCTGTTAACAAACAAACCCGTAGTCTATCCCGTATAATCTACGAAGAACAATCCAAAATTGCCTCTTTATTCATCACTAATTGTTACAAAATATTGATAGCATTGATGTAGGTCCATGGGTCCTCCATTTGTTTTGTTGATGGGGTATTTTAGATATTTGACTCACAGTCAAACACTCGAACTATGTCCGGTTAAGCTTTGCATCTATTTTGGAACTTAGAGAGTGTTATTTATTTCCTTAGCAAATAACTTGAAACATGAAAATTCCTCCATCGATTGGTGATTTTAAGTTTATCGCTTATTTTATTATGATGTGGTTATAATTTTCTATGCATTTGTGTGGCTTGCTTAGATAAAAGATAGCAAATTGAACCCAGAACAAGACAAAGGAAAGAGGCCTAAAGATCTACTTGCAAAGGCTCCGAACACTACTAAGCATAGCATACCAAATGTTGTTTTATGGAAGGCAGCTACTTTGGAAGAGGATGATGTTGGGGCAAAGTTGTCGTCGAGGTTGTCTTTCAAACCTAATTTATCTCTGAAAATGGGTAAAGAAGAGGGCAAGGAACGGTTTAGTGATTTGATATTGGTGAGGAATCCTGAACCTTTAATAAAAATTAACGACGAAGAATCCACAATTAATATTGAAGAGAGTACATGCCAAACTGAAAAAGATGTTTTTGTTCTACAAGAGCTTGGGAACGCAGAGGATCAAGCTTCTGGAGATCACAGTCGATCAAGATCTGAACTTTATGACACAGACAATAGTTCAAGAAATCTTGACTTAACTTTTGAGATGGAGAATGTGGCAGTAATCAATCTTGACCCATCACAGGAAAATGAGGAATTTTCAAACTTACAAGAAGATGGTGGTCATGAGAATGATCTTTTAACAGGTAAACCAACATAGTTTTAGATACAGTTGGTTATTTTGGTTTGGTTATGGAACCCAAATCAACTTAATCTTTCTTTGAATGACAAGAGTTAGGTACATGAATTGCGCTGCCATTCAAGATTATTTCAAGCATTAATTTTCTTGAACAAACCAAAACCAAACAAGCACAGTATATCCCACTTGAATGTAGTTTTTTTTTTGGTTTGGTGGGGGGGCTACGCAGACCTGACCTCTACCCCGAAGGGTAGAGCGACCGTTTCCATGAAGACCCTGCTTGTGAAAAAATGTGAGCGAATTCTAGAACAGACCACTTCTTTAATAATCTAGGGTTATTTTAGTATCATTCTTTATCATTTTGGGCGGTGTTTTCATACCTTTACAGAGTCCTTCTAGTTGGAAAGTGTATCTGATAACTTTTATGACTTCTGTCTTCTCCAATAGACTACTTTGTGGCATCTCTAAACTATTGCCGTCTTTATATCCTTTTTACTGCCAAAGTTCCATATTTAAATACGTTCTTATTCTTTCTTGTCACTAATTCTGCTTATGTATTTTTTGATTTTCTCAAGGATCACAGCCTTCTGAGCACCGGGATATAGTGTCTGCTGAGGAAAGTTCAGCTTCTAATATAGCAGCTGATTCAGTCTCAAAACTATCTCCGGATGCTACCTTGCAAACACCACCTAAAAGGTATTTCAAGCCTTTTCATGGATGATATCTGGTACGGTTAGTCTAGGATGTTACAGTGTCTTGTACTGAAGTTAAGTTCAAGATTCCCTAATCTCCCAAACTGAATGACATGGTGGGCAAAGGGAAAATTTTGTATTGAATTTCTAATGATCTCATTTTCAGTACAAATATATAGTACGCCTAATTTGCTTGTTTTTCTGCAAGAATTTATGATATATTTAAGATGGTATCACATGCATCATTAGCTTGCATGCAGTATAGAGTTGCAAGTTAGAATCTCAGTTCACATGCATTTATTCTTCTTCTCTAGTTTTTTCTTCTTTTTTTACTTTTTATTTGTTATAGATTAGATCAACCTGCGAAAGAGGTGTCAAACATCGGGGAAAGGATTACTAGGATCGAGAATCTGATACCAAATTCTTATTACACAAGTGAAAACTTTCCTTCAATACCGCACTTGAAGGTATTATGACTACTAATTTACTATTCATTGTGAATAAATGGAAACCTGAATTCCAAGTGCCGCTATCTTAGGACCGTGAAGATACAGACTGGAAAAGGGCTGAAGATCTGATTAAGACTACAGGAAGAGAAGAAGTGGAACTGATAAGTTCTAGCAACCGAGGATTTGTTGTAAGTGTTCTTAAAACAGAACATGATGATCTTAATAGTGCGTTTGGTTTACTGAACAGGACAGAATAGGGATCACTGTTCCATGTTTGGCAGGACTTTTATGTGGAACAGACAGGAACAAAGTGGAATAGACGTGTTCCACCCCCACCCAATGGAACAAGGTGGAACAAGCCTATATTTTACCAATACACCCTTATAATAGAACTTAAAACATCAAATACGTCTCATTCTTTACATTTTATCCATTCTTTAAATTTTATTCTCTTTAAACTTTCAAATTATTGTCCTCCAAGTATTATTTTATACATTTTCTATATTTTGGTTAATTTATGTAATTTATTAAATATTAATAATAAAAAACAATATAGAAAAGGTATAAAATAAAATTTGGAAATTATTAAACTTCATTTTTTGGTGTCATTTTAATCGTCTTGACGAACACTTTTTAATAATATATATTGTTATAAAAAATATTTATTTTATTATAATTTAATAAAAAGTACATAAACTAATCAAAATATGTAACATATATAAACAACTCATTAGGGGTAAATTGATTATTTTACCGAACACTAAACAGTTGTCCTGTTCTATCCTGTCCTGTTTAAATACCAACCAAACGCACCCTAAATGACTGAGATTTGAGTTTTTTTTTTCTTTAAAATAAGCGATCATGATCTTGGTTTTTACTTTTTCTTCATTTTATGTTCTTGCTCTTGTTTACAGGCTTCTTTTGGCTCTTTAATAGGGTTTTTGCCATATCGAAATCTTGCCACCAAGTGGAAGTTTTTAGCTTTTGAGTCTTGGTTGAGGATGAAAGGCTTGGATCCCGCTACATATAGAAAGAATTTAGGCATTATCGGAAGCTATGATGCTAAAAGCAAGACAACTTCTCCTAATCCAACCGTAGACCGTGAAAAGATCGAGGAAGAACTATCGCCCAATATGAAACTTGAAGATCTTCTTGCGATTTATGACCAAGAAAAACTGCAATACTTGTCAACTTTTGTTGGTCAGGTATTTGGTTGATTGAAAGTTCATATTTTTTTTGTTACTAGTTAAAGGAAAAAGATACTTCATTTGTCCATGGAAATTGCAATGTTTTCTCGTCCAGCTACTTTTTAGCTAAAATTACCTATTTGCCCGTTGTCATCATTGCAAAATACCGAGATTTTGGTTTATGATCATAAGATTCCGCCATTTTCATTCATTGAAGGTCATTTAAGACATGTTAAAAAGAAAATACCTTTTAAGCTAAAACTACTTCTTTCCTCATTGCCATCCTTACGAAATATTGAGGTATTGATTTGGGTTTAGAAGATGCTGCTATTATGCCATTATGAAGGTCATTAAGGGGCTGTTTGGTTGTCTTTCTATTAAGTCCTATATATAAAGCTGTCTATGTGGATTAATCTGTTTGGTTGGTTTTCCATTAATTTCAATGTAGATTAATCTATCCATATAGATTGAGAAGGTTTCTGTTTGGGAGGGGCAGGTCTAGTAACAACTTGGCTTTTGGCATACAACTTCCCACTAGAAGCTTACTGAATAAGGCACTTTCCATATCATTAAGACACTACCAAACAGTCATGTATAGCTGACCGAATAAGCTGTGAGTCCCATTAAGCTGCTAACAAACAGGCCCTGAGACATCCAGAGGAAAGGGGGAAAATGGATATTTTCTCAATGCTAAAAGTTGCAATGTTCCCTTTCTTGGTAACTTTTAAGCAGAAATTACTTGTTTGTCCATTGTCATCATTACAAAGCATTGAGATGTTGATTTGGGTTCTCACAAGATTCTCCTATTCTATCTTTATCGATGTTATTTAAGACACTTCACTTCGAATTGTGGGCCAACTCGAAAGGTGCAATTTTGATGGGATAGAGGAGTAGGGTCAGGTTCAGGGGAAAACCGCAAAAAAAGAAAATGAAAAATTGAGGAACACCCTGATAACCATTCATCTGGACGGTATGCACATGTGCATATAGGTAATTTATAAGCAATTTGTCCGGTATGCACATGTGCATACTGTCCAGATGAACGGTTACCAGAGTGTTCCTCAGTTTTTCATTTTTGGGGGTGTTTTCCCCTGAACCTTCCTCTAGAGGAGTAATTCTAATAACAATAACACGAAGATACTGACCTCTACAGAAAATCAAAGTGAATGTGATCTTGGCTGACAGAGAATCTAGGAAGTTAATATTTTCTGTGAAGCCGAAGGAGAAGGAAGAATCAATCGAGAGAAAGAGAAGCCTCATGGTATAATTTTAGACAGTAATTTTTCCAATTTTACTTAAATTTCACAGGGAGTTATGTCAAGTACAAGCTCTTACTTTTTGCTTGCGCAGACTAAGCTTAAAGTTGGAGATATAGTAACATGTTGCATCAGAAAGATTTCTTATTTTGGTATTTTTGTTGAGGCAAGTAACAATTTTCTTCTCATCACATGATGTTTTTCTTAAAGACTGTGTTTTGATTCGTGGTTTTATGATATAGATTGAAAGAGTACCCGCATTGATCCACCAGACAGAAGTATCGTGGGATGCCACTTTAAACCCCACATCATCTTTCAAAATTGGCCAGGTACTTCAAAGCCCTTTACGTAAATTGAAAACTTTCCAAAAATAGAAACGTTGCAATTTTTGTTGGAAATATTATTTTGGAAGCTGTTGCGATTATGAAATAATGCAGAACCATGATAATGTTTTGGTTTACAGGTGGTGGAAGCAAAGGTTCATCAGTTAGATTTTGCACTTGAGCGAATATCCTTGTCTTTGAAGGAAATAACGGTATTCTATCTTCAAGTTTCTTCAAACCACCTATAGATTTTCAAAATTTTAGGGGTGTTCATCTAAACCGCCAAACTGCCCACACCACACTGCAAAAGCGGGGTTTAGAACTTCTGCGCTGCGGTTTGCATTTTAATCAAACCGCACGATGAGGTGCAGTTAAAGAGAGAGAGAGAGAATAATTGCTAAATTTATGTAATAATTTTAATCTATTTTCTCCATGGTCCATTAATAAGTCCAAAGTTTTGGACTTTGATTAATAATATTAATAAATTATAGCCCAATAATGCATTAGGCTCTTTTAGGCTTTAATCAACATTCACGACACGATTTCATCATTTTTTTTTCAATTTTGTGTTGACATGGGACTTCTGCCTTCTACTTTAAGTTGCTTTCAAGTCTCAATGATTTAATGTTTTTACTTCTTAGACGATTTCTAATTTATGTAATTTGCATTTGCAAATCGGGCATGTTGAAACTTCATTTTCTTTTTGGACTACGGTTAGGTTATAGTTGATTTTATATTATCGGATTGTAGACGTAAAGTGCTTTATGTACAAAACGCACCACCGCATTTCACAGCCAGTTTTTTGCGGTTTGAGGTGGATGCGGTGCGATTCTGAGAAATGCTCAAACCACCTAGGCGGTGCGGTTTGCGGTTTTTGCCGCACTGGAAACACCCCTAATAACAGTTCTTTCAAGAAGGCGTATATGTTAAAAGAGAAGGACTTTTATCGTTATTAGTCAATTATAATGCAATGCTTATCTTGTGGCAGCCAGATCCGTTGACGGAGGCTTTGGAAGCTGTTCTTGATGATCATGCTGTATTGGATGGTACATCAGAAGCAGACCAGCCTGAAAACGAGGTTTCTAAGCTGTGTCACTGTCCGAAACCAATTTATTCGTTCTTACCAGAAATTCTATGCATTTAAGTTCATTATAGGGTGCTTTTGGTATCCAAACAGACAGGATAGGACAAAACAGTTGTTTAGCGTTTGATAAGACAGAAATTGACAAGACAGAATTGATAAAATGACCAATTTACCCTAATAAGTTGTTTATATCTTTTATATATTTTGATTAATTTATGTAATTTATTAAATTATATTAAAATAAATATCTGTATAACCAAATATATCATTAGGAAGTTTTCGTCAAGATGATTAAAATAACACTAACATAAAAAGTTTATGAAGTTTCCAATTTTTACTTTATGCATTTTCTAATATTTAATAAATTACATAAATTAACCAAAATATATAAACCATATGAAAATAATATTCTGATGATAGTAAAGTGAAAGTTTAAAAAGCATAAAATATAATAAATAAAATTTAAACAATGAATTAAATGTAAAGAGGGAGGCATATTTGATGTTTTACAAGAGAATTAGGTTTTATTTTCATTTGATATCCAAAAACTGCTCAACAACAGTCGGACAAGTGGGGAATGTTGGGGTGAACCAGAAAAGTTTAGGTAGAGCCAAAGTTTATCAGAAGCTTGGTCTAAAATTCCTGAAAAGTAGCCTTTTATGATTGAACAAGATCCATTTTGCATCATATCTAAGGGGTAAAATATAGGTTTGTTCCGCCTTGTTCCATGGGGGTGGGGGTGAGAAACGCCTGTTCCACTCTGTTTCACATAAAAGTCCTGGCAAATATGGAACAGTGATCCCTATTTTGTTTAGTCATGTTCGGTGTATCAAATGCACGCTTATGGAACTGTGCTCAACAACATATATACAACTTTAGACAAGCAGATCTTTATCCATTAATGAATTTCTTCCGTATTGAACATCATCCCGTAAGCTTACTTTTGCATTCTGTATATAAACCGCACAGTGGGACGATCTTGAATTACTTGTCGAAGAACTTCAGCAATACGAGGGTATTGATTTAGTAACAAAAGGCCGGTTTTTCTTGAGCCCGTGTTTGACTCCAACATTTCAGGTAACATCTTTTTTCCAAGAAAACTCTTTGCAAGTGATTTTTATTGCTTTTGCACGTCGCGTATAAAGTACAATGCTTTGTGATTCTTGGCAGGTTTATATGGCATCCATGTTCAAGAATCAGTACAAATTGCTTGCTCGAGCCGGAAATAAAGTACAGGAGGTACAGTTTGACTTTGATTATTGTTGAACGTTTCAGGTATTGTATGTGGGTTCAATCGTAATTTATCTTCACATTTTCACGGAACCTACAAAATGAAAACGAACCAACATGTCTATAAGCTACTTGATTGTTATACGAGAACACCATAGCTTGAGAAATAAAATTTGTTTAAAATGACATTCATATATCTGTTGAGGTAGAAGTCAGGTCTGTGTACATCTTTCCTTGACCTTTCCAAAAGTTTCTTCTATTTCGCGAAGGTTATCTAGAAGGCGTATTTGGTATCTGCTTTGTCTACGAACAAGGAAGCTATAAGTAATGAAAGTATGAATCTCTTGAATACCCTGATTTAAGGCCAAAGAATTTCCAACGGCTACCATATAGTATTCATCTAAAAAAGGAGCAATAGCTTCCCTCTTGATTTGCTTGGGAGCTTACGATTTCATGTTCTATTTCACTCTCCATGAATCTAGGAACTTTTGCTTGCATTGTCTTATTTGGTCTATTATTTAGCTATTGCAATTCTTTTCTAGATAGTGGGTCACATGTATAGGACCAATGCCACCTTCATGTGGGATTCATTGGGCTTGTTTATAACTTGTTAGAAGTCAAGTCTGTGTACATCTTACCATTTCCGTACCCCATCTTCGCGTGGGATATATTGGGCTTGTTTATAACTTGTTGATATGTCTTGGGCTGAGGTAGAGGTCAAGTTTGCATACATTTACCCTCCCAGACCCCACCTCCGGGTGGGATATATTGGGCTTGTGTGTAACTTATTCATATGTCCTCGGTTGTGAGTTAGAGGTCCGGTCTGCGTACATCTTATCCCTCCTAGTATATTCCACCTCTAAGTGAGATATACTGGGTTGTTTAGAAGTTATAACTTATTCTTATGTCTTGGGTAGGTGGTGGTGCAGACATCGCTAGGTACAGAGGAGATGAAGCATGCAATTCTAATATGCAGTAGAAGAGTCGAATAAACTCCTCTTATGATCAATTAGTTCCTGTATAGCTGGTTTGATCATCGTCGAGCCACCAAGGTCGGTGCAGGTGAACCATGGTCTCAGTGGCAGAGGTGCACCCCTCAGGTCCCAGGTTCCAGCCATTACAGAACTCTTGAGCAATGAGTCAAGAAAAGGAACCATTTTTGTAACCTGAAGTGGTGCTTAGATGAGTTTGTAAAGTGGCAGACAGAGTTTGAGGTGTTTAATTTAATCTTCAAAAAGAATTCAAGTAAAACTGTGAAATTGAATCATCCCTTGGTCCCAAAATAGATTGTTCATATTTCTATGTAGTTTGTTTTAAAATAAGTGTTTATTTTCAAAAGCAAATGTCTATTTTTTCCATTCTACTCTTAATTAGAGATGCATAAAAAAGCTCAAGCCTGAAGCCTGGCCCGAGTTTGGCTTGAAAAAGCCTGACCGTAGTGAGCAAGAAGCCCGGTCCAAGGCCCGGCCTCAAAACCTAATTAGGCTGAACTTTTTTGGACGAGCTTTTGCCTTGCCGAAAACCAGATCAGGCTTTTTTTAACCCCAAAGTCTGTCCTAACTAGCAAAAAAGGTGTTGACCTTTTTTAAGAACGGGTTTTAGTCGAGACTTGAGAAAACGTTGGCCTTTAGGGGTGTAAATGATACGAAATAGGTCGCGAACTATTCGAGATTGACTTGGTTAAAACTCGGTCAACAATCGACTCGAATAGGCTCGACTCGAACTTGAGCTTGACTAGACATATTAACGAGTTGAGTGGAGCTACCCAATACTCGACTCAAGAATCTCGTGAGATACTCGATTTTTCTATATATAATTAGTTTTAAAAATATAATCAATTTTATAATATAATTTGTAAAATATAATATAATAAAAATGTTTTATATATTTAGATATTGAACAAATTGTGCATTTTTTTTAAATATAAAAACTAATCTTATTTTATTATTGAAATTAGAATTAAAAAAGACAAAAAACTATAGAGGTGTGATGAAGTTGTCCTAAATCCGAAGAGAAATAGTAAATGAATGGTGAATAAGTGTTATAAAAAGAGAGTGGGTGAATGCACTCTGTAATTTTATCTTTTTGAAGATAAGTTTGAGATGCATCCCTTTAATTTTATAAAATTTAAAAGAACACCTTTAAGTTTTATAATTTTTAAAAGAATACCCTAAAATTTTATAAATTTCAATTGATGATAATGGTTCGAGCTTGATTCGAGTTCGAGTTCAAGTTTGGTTTGAGTTGGAATTCGAGCTTCAAACAGGTTCGAGCTCGAGTTCGAGTTTAAAAAACTGCAATCGAGTTCGAGTCAAGTTTAGTTTTTAACTACTTGCGGGTTTTCGAGTCGGATTCAAGCTTGAGAAATTACAATCGAGTTCGAATCGACTATATCAATACTCGAGCTTTGACTTGCATCATTTAAACCCCTAATTGGTCTTATAAAATTTTACCCTTAATTATAAAATAAAGAATATTTTTTTATACTATTAAGGGTATAATAGTCCTTTAATCAATTAAAAAACATAATAATTACACAATCCTCTAATTTTTTCACATGAAAACACCAAAAGAGTGTCATTAATGATACTTTCAAAGGAATCATGAGCAACCGTCCAAACCTCATAAATAATACTCTTGTAGTATTTACCTATATTGGCTTATTTGCCCCCTCTACAATCATTCTTTTACAATTTTGACCCCCAAAAATAAAATTGTTGATTTGACTTTATCCCAAGACAAAATTAATTTTCAATAATTATTAATCAACAAAATAAAAAATATATATATTTTAAATTTTACTAGTTGGGATTTATTCTAAATTAAAAATGAAAAAATAATATAATTTCTTATTAAAAAGTCCAAAACTTTTGTTTAAATAAAATAAAAATTATGATTATTTTTAATTTTAAAAATCTATATATATATAGTTAAATTTATTAATATGTTTTGATTTTATTTTCTAAAAAAAATTCTAGAAACACAAATAAAATCCAAGTAAAAAAAGTCATCAAAAGGATCTCCAACTGATTTTCTATAATTTCTCTAAAATAGAGAATAAAAAGTCAAAATCTTCAAAAAGAATTATGTTTAACTTCAACAGATTTTTTATTTTAGAGATTTCAGCATCTATTATATTATTTCTGTATTTTAAAGAACAGTATAAAAAATTTAATAATTCATATTGTAAAGTTTCTCTAGTTTTATATAGTTATAGTTACACTCTCCTAAATTTATACTATATTTTTAAAGTTTGTAGTAAAGTGTGAATTATGTTCGTTTGGCTTATTAAAAATTATGACTTTCATCCTTATACTTTTGAAATTAAAATTTTCATCCTTGGACCTAACTTTTTTAGTGATTTACCATTAATTACAATGAACTAAAATGCAATAAATTGTAAATTACATAAAGAAAATCAATGAACTGTAAACCACATAGACAAAAAAGGTAATTTCAAAAACACATAGACTAAAATATCAATTTTTAAACCACAAGGACTAGAAATGTAGTTTACTCTAATTTAAGACTTTAATGAAAAGCAAATAGGATTACCTTTGACTAATTAAAATCTTGGAGTCTGTTGTTTAATATAAGAATTTGTCTTGTCGGATTTTATGGGTTCCATGAAGCAACTCTTGAAAATCACATTCTTTTTCGAGCTTTCCATTAACAAGATCCACGTCCCATTACTCGATTCTTTATCCCAACTCAACCCTGATTGCTTTCCCGCTTCCTTTTGCTTGAAGTGCAAGTGCCACCCTCTCATTCTCGTGTCTTTCTTTCTTATGTCTGCCTTTTCTTTTATCGACAGAAACTCAGGTTTGATTCCCAAAGAGAGATAGGAGTTGAAGAAAGAATAGGGTTTTTCTTTTTGGGGATAATATGAGCACAGGAACAAGTACATTTGTGATAAGATGGGTCAATTTTCTGACTATGGTATGTTACTATGTCCCCCACTTTTGGATTCTTTGTTTAAACCCTCAGTGTTTTGATTCTTGAATCCGTGGTGAAGAGATCCCTTTATGATTTTGTGTTTTCTTTTGGTTTAGCTGGAATATGCGTCTTGGGTGTTTGTTGAAATGCTTGAATGGATGTTTGTAGGATCATTGAAATTTATTTCTTGAACTACTGACTTATTGGTTGTTCTGGGTTTTAGTAAGCTCAACTCCTCCATGGATATTCTCAATGCTGCGAGATATAACTTCTTTTGTAGTAAGATAATTGTGTGAAAACTTCAACCTCATTTATGATCAAAAATTTGAGCTTCTGTAGTGTCTAAGCAAGAACTACAGGTTTTTTGTTAGTTCTTGCTTTATTTTCCTTGCAGTTTAGTATTACAGACACTGTTTTTGAATTCTTGGGGCCAGTTTGTTAGCAGCTTAATGGGATTCAATCTTATCTGGTCAGCTATACATGATTTTTTGGTAGTGGTTTAATTATATAGAAAGTGGCTTATTTCTAGGGGGTGCTTCATGCAAAAAGCCAAGTTTTTTTCCAAACCTCCCCCTCCGAAAAAAACACGCTCCTACCATCTATGAGAAAACCTCCCAACCAAAAATCTTCCCAATCTATATAGACAAATTAATCCACACAGACAGCTTTATGCCTTTATCCATATAGGACTCGATAAAAAACCAACCAAACAACCCCTTAGGTCCATTTGGCAGCACCAATTCCAGATGAACCCTTGAAAGTTTTATGGGTTTGACACAGTTTCATTAATGAATCGTTTAAGTGTTGCAATTTCAGCTTGTAAACTAGTATCAATGGAAGATTACTTCCAGTTTTGGAAGGACTTTTTGTTGTCTTGACTGATATCAGACTTAATGGTCATCTTTCACTGTTTAGCTAGTAGCTGTAGCGGTCATTGGATATGGTATCTGGATGAGCTCTCATCACGATGGTTGTCGAAAGTCTCTCACGCTGCCAGTTATGGCCCTTGGCTCCGTGATCTTTCTAATGTAAGATATTCTATCATCTTTCCATTGAGAATCTTGAATCAAATCCTACAAAAAAGGCATGAATTCGGCATCAAACAAACTAGTTTCTTACTTCTAAATTGATATAAACTCTTCCTTCTTTAAGATGAACTTGATATCAACAATAAAAGTTTGATCTTTGATGCTTAATTATACTTTCTTTTTGGAAAGCAGGAAGTAAACAGATCTTTTATTTCATACACACTCTTAATTTTGTGTTTGTTTGAGTTGCAGATCGGTTATTGGGTTTCTGGGGGCAGCAAAGAACAACTCTATATTGTTATGGATGGTATATTCATGTACCGAAATTGTTACAAGATCTAAATTCATGATTCTTGCAGCCTCTTAATCCTTCATTATACTTCTAATTGAATTGCAGTATTTGGTCATGCTGTGCTTGGTTTTGGTGGGGATCCTTATCTTTACTGTCTTGGTGTAAGTATACTTGATAGATACACGATTATATGCTCTACATAGGACTTAAGTTATACAAACGTTAGTTCATATAGATACGAAGCTTCTTTTGGAATTTGAATTCTAATGAGTGGTTATTTCTATTATTTCATTGTAGGTTTATGATCACAAATAATGGCTCTGGTCACACTGTTGCAGGTTTGAGGTAAAGTTCAAAGGCACCTTTGTTTTAGTGTTTGCTCTTTAGGGTGCTTTTGGTACTATGTACATGACAGAATAGAATAGGAATCATTATCCATGTTTGATAGGACTTTTATATGGAACATAATGGAACAGGCGTGTTCCACTCCCTCCTCATGGAACAAGGTGGAATAAACCTATATTTTACCAATATACCCTCAAAGTAAAATTTAATTCTCTTCTAAAACATCAAATGTGCCTCCATCTTTAAATTTTATTTATAACATTTTATGCCTTTAAAATTTTCACTTTATTGTCCCTAAAATGATACTTTTGTTCTGTTTCTATATTTTAGTTAATTTATTAAATATTAATAAATAAAAATAATAATATAGAAAAGCTATAAAATAAACATTTGAAACTACATGAACTTTTTATTTTGGTATCATTTTAACTTCTTGACGAAGACTTTCCAATGATATATTTTGTTATCAGAATATTTATTTTATTATAATTAATAAAGTACATAAATTAATCAAAATACATAAAAGATATAAAAAACTCTAGGGGGAATTGGTCATTTTACTTGTTTTGTCATGTCCAGTTCTGTCTTACCAAACACTGAACAGTCTGGATACCAAATGCACCCTTAGGGTGCGTTTGGTGCCCAGACATGATTGGACAGGACAGGACGGGACAGGACAGAACAGGACGGGACAGGACAGGACAGCTGTTCAGCGTWWGRYARGACAGGAYAGGAYAGAACTGGTTAAAATGACCAATTTACCCCCAGTGAGCTGTTTAGTGTTTTTCACTATGAAATGCATTCTGGTAACACTGGTCCTACTACCACTACAGCCCTAATAATTCATCAACAACAACAACATTCAGCAATCATAATCAATGTAAACTCTCGAAATAAATCATAATACTTCATTAAAATCTCTAATAAGTACTTAAATTAATCAAGTTGTTGGCGAAATCGAGTACGAAACCACCATCAAAATATAATTCCTTACTTGCATGAAACAAGAAGAAAGGTATTTGAAGAGTTTCTTCAAATTCGTGATGTAGTTGCTTTAAGAAGCAGCAGCGGCCATCGGAGAAGCAGCAGCGGCCGCCATCGGGAGAAGCAGCAGCGGCCATCGGAGAAGCAGCAGCGGCGGCCATCGGAGAAGCAGCGGCGATGGCCATCGGRAGAAGCAGCAGCGGCGGCCATCGGGAGAAGCAGCAGCGGCGGCCATCGGAAAAGCAGCGGCGGCGGCCATCGGAGAAGCAGCAGCGGCGGTCATCGGAAGTCGCCGTCACCGGTCGCCGGTTGAGCGGTGGAAGCGATGGAGGAGAGGAGAGTGAAGGGGAAGAAGGAAGGTATGAGTATGAGGTTTTTGAGGGTAAAGTGGTAAAAAGTTTCTTGTTCTACTTAGTTCCATGGGTAAAGGGGTGGACAACCTTGTCCCACCCTTGTTCTAGTTTGTTCTAGTTAGTCCCACATAAAACCACACCAAACATAGGACAATTGTGTTMTGTCCTGTCCTGTCCCACCCTGTCCAACGTACCAAACGCACCCTTAGAGACCATTCTAAGTTTAATTTAGTAAACCAATGAGGCAAATTTTTTATCCGTTAATCGGTTTCTATAATCAGGTACAAAGAGTATCAACTCCAAGATCATGGTTCTTGGTTTGTAAAGAAAGTAAGTAGATTTCATTAAATGCGTGTTGTTTAGATTGGGTTATTTAGATAAATGACCGTGGGGGTCGCGGTCTATGTCATAAGGTCGTTGATTTAAAAAAAACACTGTCAGAAGGTCATTTAGTTAAATAATCTGGCTTTTAGATTCTAGTATATGAACTCGAAAGTAACCATCTTCATTTGTTTCTTGTTTTCTTCTCAGTTGAACAACACGCATAACTGGAAACACCTTCAAAGTTGTTTTCTGAAAATCGAGGCGTGTAGCAACATGTCAAAAAGATACAAAGTATGTGTTCGATATGTAACTATAATGTGTAGTAGACTTGGGATCGTGTGAGATCAGCTCGTTTTCATGAGACCACATAAATAACATTGAACCTTCACAACAAACCACTTTTCGTACATTTATAATATTTTGCTGTGAAGTTTCAGTGTTATTTTGTGGTTTCACGGTCTCACGAAAACAGGTTGGTTTAACGTAAACCCGACCCATGTGTAGTAATCGGCCACTTAATTCAAGTAATCCGTATTATGATCTGTTTACTGCAGACTCTTAAACAATACAAATTGGCGAGATTAACTCCAATAGAAGCTGGTTGTTGCAGACCGCCATCTGAGTACGCTTAAATCTTCTCTATTCTTTCCTGTTACGTGAAACTTGCTATATTTAGCAAATGACATTAAGATTAAACTGTGTTTTAGGTGCGGTTATCCGGCTGTTAATGCCTCTTACTATGATTTGAGCTTCCATCCTGTGAGTTCTAACAACGATTGCAAACTTTACAAGAACTCGAAAGCGATCAAGTGCTACAATTGCGATTCCTGCAAGTAAAACATCGTTTTCCCCACATTCTAATTCGTTTGTTATTTCCTTTCTTTGTGAGAATATGTTGAACCCCGTTAGATTACTCTCCAAAAGAACCTTTGAGGAAAGGTTCTAACGTATATTGAGGAGAAATGGTGTAAGGGGTTGTTTGGTTGGTTTTCCATTAAGTCCTATATGGGAAACTATTTGTGTGGATTAACTTGTCTGTAGAGATTGTGAAAGTTTTTGTTTGGGAGGGTTTTTCATAGATTGAAGGAACATGTTTTTTAATTGGTAAAGACAAGTTTGGAAAAAACTTGGTTTTCTGCATAAAGCTCCCCCCAATAAGCTTACTGAATAAGTCACGTTCTATATCATTAAGCCACTACCAAACAGTCGTATATAGTTGACCGAATAAGTTATGAGTCTCATTAAACTCATTAAGTTGCTAACAAGCATATGGGCACAGTTTGTCCCATCATGTTGAGTGGGGACAGAAGGACACAGTCCTCAAATTGATAGACCTTGGCTTTGATATCATGTGAGAATATGTAGAATCTATTGGATTACTCTTCAAAAATAATCCTTTAGCAGAGAACGGAGGTTTCAACATATATTGCAGAGAAATGGTCCAAGTCTAGCAAATTATGTCTTCAAAACTTATGATTCTATCGTATTGTGTTTCAGAGCCGGAGTAGCAGAGTACATAAAAACCGAATGGCGAGTGGTTGCTATCTTCAACGTAATCTTGTTTGTTATCTTGGTAAGTCGTTCAAAACCACTCAAAAGACCAATTAACATCGAATTATATCAAGTTTTGTCTTGAATTTACGAGTTTTTGGAATGTTTTTCAACCATTTTCGCTTAGTTTCGATATGTTTATTTCCATCTTGCCTGATGGCAGTCGATGATCTATTTCGTGGGATGCTGTGCAAGACGAAACGCTGCCAGATTGCACTTGAAATCTTGAAAGATCGCTACATTAATCTTCTTTCAAGCAAAGCCACAACTCAAGAAATCGAAAGTTTAGTTCTTGAAGAAAAACTGAAAGCTCCGACCGACCACGTTTGATTGAAACGGACTCGAGGAGGGTTTTGACTCACGAACTCGAAACAAATTTATGACTCACGTCACATGGTTTCTAGTTTTAAATGCTTTGTTGTCTATTTCTATGGCTGCTTTATTTATAACTGTGTGGGTTTGGGTCTGCTTGCAAACACCTCGACTAATCTCACAGGGTCCTAAAGATAACAAACAGTCTGGAAAATCCTAACTGGCACTCAAACCGGCAACTTATGAGAAGGAGGCGGCCCCAGGGCTTGGCCTTTATTTGCCGGTTCAGCTAGCCATCAATGGGATTAGATTCACGACCTAAAGGTTGTAAAAGATGCAATAATACCATCGATCAAAGTCCCCTCGATAGTACCCAACACAATTCATTTTCTATGTACAGTTGACGAATAAATGCGTACGTATTTAAAAAGACTAGAACTCGTAAAAACTCGATTTGACCATTGAGAAAATTTGTGAATCACAACAAAAGGGTTCGGGGTCCAGGACTCATGGTTCAATACAAGGTATAAATTATCGGTTATTCAGTGATTCCCACAAAACGCCAAGATCTACATTACCTCCTGAAAGCACGATCCCAATGTTACGAGTATCCTTCGAAGCAGGATTTCGCTTGAAACTATCCGAGAGAACAGCAGCAAGACCTATAGCACCACTAGGCTCGATTGCAACCTTAAGTACCTCGTAACAATATCTCATAGCTTCAACGATCTCTTTATCTTCCACAGTTATAATGTCGTCAACAAGATCCCGTACAACAGGCCTACGTAAACATCGAATTTTCAGACATAAGAAATTTGATATAGACCGTAATCTATCATCTTCTCATCAATGTGGGATAACCAAAACAAACACAACTCAACATTTCCGAATACTAAAATCTCATAGTGCCACATCATTAGCTGTGGCTGTTCCTTTTGGGTGCGTTTGGTATCAAGATATGACAAGACAAGGCAAGACAAGTAAAAACATGACAAAACAGTTGTTCAATGTTTGGCAAGACAAAACTAGACTGGATATAACAGATAAAATAACCAAATGCAACCTTTATAATATAAAAGATAGTGCTAAAAATATTATATTACCAAGTGAGATCTCCAAGAGAAGCTCGAAGCCCGTCCGCAATGGTGTTGGTCTGAGCCAAGGTTATGATTCGACCAGATGCTTTTGATTGTGCAGCATCATCAGCTCCTTTTGGCTCGGCAGCCAAGACCCGTATGGCCGGATTGATCGACTTGGCTCCAATCGCGACACCAGATATCAAACCACCGCCTGCAAGTTTCTAATCGACATGATAAAGAAAAACTAACCAGCCAACTTAACAGCAAGAGATCCAAAGATGGTATACAAACCGCTTATCGGAACTATTAGGGTGTCGAGGTGTGGCACCTGATCAAGAAACTCGAGCGATAACGTACCCTGCCCACTGTAACATAAAACGAGCGATCTTGAACAAATTTTGGAAATATAAATGCAATAAATCATCTTAAGGGACTCCCAGCTTATTCGTTCATCTATACATGACTGTTTGGTAGTGGCTTAATGATATGCAAAGTGGCTTATTCAATAAGCTTTCAGGGGGGAGCTTTATGCAGAAAGCCAAGTTTTTTCTAAACTTCATCCTCCCAATTAAAAAACACGCTCTTTCAATCTATAAAAGAACTCTTCCAAGTAAAAAATTTCTCAATTTATACAGGCAGATTAATCCACTTAGACAACTTTATACACACACGAGTTAATAAAAAACCAACCAAACAGCCCCCAATACCAGCAACTTTTGGTCAAAAACTGCTCATTTTGCAATTTTGCAATGAAAAGTTAAGTATGATGGTTCGAAATTTGATCACTTGAAGATTAAATAGAACGACTTTGATACCTTATGATACGGCCATCGTTATATGGATGAACAAGGGTGGCACCAGTCTCGTGTAAGACCTTGTTCGCTGTTTCCTCTCTGGATTGCATATTAGCCTCGCTCCATATAACTTGACCTCCATAACGTTTCACGTTTTCAACTTTACATTTTGGAGCGTTTTTCGGTATGACGATATACGCAGGAATTCCTCGCAGTTTTGCAGCTAAAGCCAGTGCTGCAGCATGATTACCACTGATTCCAACCACAAAAACAGAGTGAATATCAAATTAGGCTTTTCCTTCGTTTGAGAACCATCTATTCATGATATTCATAATGAATAATGAAAAATATTCATGATATTCATGATGAAAAATGAAGATATTCATAGTATTCATGAATTATACATGATATGAAAATGCATGATATTCATGAATATCATGATTACCACTACAAAATCAGAGTGAATAACTTTCCAACCCCTCATATTAGACCTTGCCTTCATCTAAGAACCATTTTTTTTATTAACCTGGATATCCAACCCGCTATACGAGCCGACTAATCCTAGGGCGACCACCTGCTTTGCGGGTAGCCCGGAGTCACCACATTTGAACCTCCGTGGTCACAAGGGAATTTTTATTCTTCCTTGGATTTGAACCTGGAACCGCACTTTTGACCTTGGAGCCCAAGCTCAAACTAATCAGGCACCACCCTTGTGGTTCATTTAAGAACCATTTGAACCCTCTATTCATGATATTCACCATTTGAATAGTTGGCATATTCATTGTGAATAATTCATGAATAGTTGGTTCCCAGGGTTCCTAAATGAACTTTCCCCTTACAGTCATCATTCTTAATAAAAATGCAAAAAGGATAGCTTCGCGTAATACCTGCTATGAGTTACAACTCCTTTGGCTGCTTGTTCGTCGTTGAGAGAAAAGATAGCATTCGATGCACCTCTAAACTTAAAAGCTCCACTGATAACCATCAAACAGAAAGCACCTAAATTCAACTGTAATGAGCAAAGCTATGCTAGTTCCCTTATAAAGAAGGTTGATAAGCCATTTCTTACCCCTTTTGAAAGCATTCACACTTGAAAAATAAACTTTTTCCGGCAATCAAGTTCAGGGTTTCCGAAGATAAGACCGGAGTTATATTAACATATGGTCTAATAAGCGTTTGTGCTTTCGAAATGGAGTCGATATCAGCAGCATATTTATGGTGCTCTTTCTGGCTCTTATCTTCCATATCAGAAACCGGAAAGCAGTTTCCTGTTTTGCAATTGGGAGCAGATCAAACTTCTAAAGTTACTGCAACGAAAAAGAGCATAATGCTGGAGTAATTAGTGGGTGGTCGAACCGTACAGAAGTTACAAATACAGTAGTTGTTACAAACTACTAACACGGATCAGAAGGCTTCAGAGCGTCCATCCCTTCAGGGTCAGAAGGCTTTGGAGCGTCCGTCCCTTCAGGACAGAAGCTCCGTGTCAATCAAAAACTTCTGAACAAGACTCAAAGGCTTCAGAACTTCACTTGGAACATTCAAAAACTCATTTTCTGTAAGTACTTCTCTTCATAAAATCCGTAGAGGTTTTGGATCATCACTAGGGGCCTTGCCACTAAGACCCCGGGGCGGCATCCAACGATCTAGGTTCTAGTTAGCTTACACGAGTGAGCATTCCACGCCTTCTAGCTCATGATAGGAGCTTAACTACCAACCCCATATTTTCTTGTAAATCCAGTTACATAAAATAAACCAATGATTTCACTAAAATCACATTTTGTAGGAAACAAAAATGGGTGATCGTTAAGGGGCCACCAATTCATCCAGAATTTGGATCCTAACCACATAAAGAATCACAGATTTGACTCATTAGATATGATTCTAAAGGATTGATGGCAACATTTAACCTAGAATCAGGGATGAACAAACTGAAAATATATGCAAGAAATTGAATTTAGGAGTTAACAGGTTGGACTTTGCGAAATCAAAATGGGGTTCTTGATTGTAGAAAGAGATCATGAAACACAAGATACAGAAAAATACCCTTTTCGAACAATCAAAACCCAATACAGAAAACTGAGTTTCTTGATGGTAAAACTATAAGAATAAATCAAATTGAAAGCCGTAAATAGTAATCAAGAATGGGGGGTTTTGAAGAAACTTGCCTGTGGAGAGTGTGGCTTAGTTCCAACGATCCACAAAGATTTTGAAATCATAAAATACACACATTCTTTTAAATTTAATGATTTTTTCTAATAATATTGTAATTTTTTTTAATTGATATTGGTTTTGATTTACCTACATGAAATCTATGTTCCTTTTTACTTTTTAGCATGTTTTAAACTAATAATTATAGTATTTAATTATTTAAGAAAATTATTATTTAATTACTAACCCAAATAATTAAATAATTCAATTAAAYTGAATTTCTTATTATTATTTTTATAATTAAAACATATTTTAGTTATGAGTTAATTAAATTAACTTGATATATCTGATATTTCATTTAATTTTTTATTCAGTTAAATATTTCAACCAATTATTTAAATAAAATATATATACAACATAAAATAAACAACCATATCAATATAATTTATAAACACAATTTAATTATGTAAATCGAACTGAATCGTTTTTAAAATTGTTTATAAATCGAATTAAATATTCAGTTAAATCCAATCATAATATGATATTCAATTTAATTATGTATTTTAATTATATCCGATGATTTTCCCCAAACAGGAAATTAAAATAACATTTTTTTAGCTATGTGATTTATATTTTATTTTATTTTTTACCCATGAGTTTCTAGAGTTAAATATTATTCAATTATTATGACGTCATTGCCCTCGCAATTCCATTTGAAACACGCCAAAACGTTCCTCATTTCAACAAAGCATCGCGTTGGTTCTATATATTTACACATAACACCCTTACACTTATTCTTAATCCACTAATACCCCATAGTATTATATAAATAATCACATCATCCAGACATAAAATGAAACAGAATTAGATTAGATAAGACAGAACATATAAAATAATCAATTTTTCACCTAATGATTAAAGATTGAGAAATCCTTGGGATCTCGTATCCTGGTTATATAAGAAGTTCTGCTTGTGCAATGTTAAAGGTAGATTATTGGAAATACCTGAAATTACAAGGGGGTAAAATGTAATATATCGTCAAGCAGGATCTCTTCCACACGATCAAAACAACATCATCAGCCGTTAGATCAAATCTTGACCGTTCATTTCTAAACCGACTCGTTTTCTAGAACAACGCAAACAAACCCACCACGTTGCTCCCTCCGTATTCATACGTATTCACACATAATAACGTTTTCGATCGTGTTCTTGATTTCGACTATAAATTCCCCAAAATCTCATCCTTCCTTTCATATAAGTTGAACCCATTTCAGCTGTCTACAAATTATATAAGTTGTTTCTTTTCATCAAGCAATCAATTCAAAAAGATTACGAATTCTGTTTGGATCAGATCATACGATGGCCGCACAAGCAAAGAAAACAGTTTATGACTTCACTGTGAAGGTTTGATCATTTCAGAATCGTTTTCATTTAGTGATTTTAATTTGAGATTGTTTTTCATCTAGTGGTTTTAATTTTGAAATTGTTCTCATTGATCACGTCTGGTCTGTTTGGAATTAAATTAGGGTTTTTTGTTCATGGGTCTTCTGATTGAATTTGGTTATTCTGCAGTCTTGTGGGGTTTCTTTAATCAACGATGGTTATGTCAAAAGGATACGTAGGATGCTATACGATTATAGAAACAAAATTTAGGGTTGAGATTCTTTTGCATCTTGTCTTGATTTGTGATTGTTTGGTTTGTGGATTCATGTTTGTTGAGCTGTTCATGTTTCTACTGATCGATCGGTTTTTGACGATGATCTTTTCCTTGCAAAATTGCGATCGGTCTTGGAAATTTACTAAAAAGCTTCCATTGGTATTAGTGGATTCTGAGTTCATATATGAATTTGGAGTTGGGTTCTCTCGTGAGAACAGCATGTTTTCGTGAGACTCGTTTGACCTATGTAGACACAAAAACACACTGAACCTTCAAAGCTAAAATCCCACAAATGTACAATACTTTTACAGTGTTTTTGTTGTCAAAGGTTCGGTTTTTTTACCATCATGATGTTCTGCACTGAAAGTTCAGTGTGACGTGCCTTACCAAAAAAGTCCATGATCCCAAGTCTATCACTTTGTCGACTTTGCAAAAGAAGTTGTCATCTTCTAGTCAACATGTAAAGCTCAAAGCAAAGATTTGTTGATCTGAAAGCAGTTTTAGGGTCTGTTTGTTAGTAGCTTAATGGGGCTCACAGTCACAGGTTATACGGTAAGCTATGCATGAGTGTTTGGTAGTGGCATAATGATATAAAGAGTGGCTTATTCGGTAAGTTTTTAGAGGGAAGCTTTATGCAAAAAAGCAAGGTTTTCCAAACATGCCCCTTCCAATTTAAAAACACGCTGCTTCCATCTACAGAGAAACTCTTATCACACAAAAAACTTCCCGGCCTATAGAGACAGATGAATCCACACATAGAGCTTAATCCATACAGGACTTAATGGAAGACCATCCAAACATTTCCTTGGCGATATATGGGTTTATGGTTTAGTTAAGGTTCTAATTTTAGATAACTTACATACCCTTTCGATTCTTTTTCTTCCAGGATGTAAAAGGGCAAGATGTCGATCTTAGCAAGTACAGGGGGAAAGTTTTGCTAATTGTCAATGTTGCTTCACAATGGTATGCTAAAAGATTCGAACTTTTTAAGTTAGATTACAGCATAAACACCCCCACGAGAATCTTTGCAAATGTTGTATTTCTTCTTACCGGTTTCCTCGTTATTTGTTGGTGCAGTGGCTTTACTAATTCTAATTACCCTGAGTTGACAACCTTGTACCAGAAGTACAAGGATCAAGGTTGGTTTTTTTGGCTTTTTGCTCGACTCTTTTGAGCTTTCCTATGATGATCCTAATATTTTATAGCCTTTTTCGGGAGGAAGGGTTTTTGCAATCAGTCAAATGATTCCAAGCTGTTTTTGTGATTTACAGGTCTTGAGGTTCTTGCGTTCCCGTGCAACCAGTTTGGCGGGCAAGAGCCTGGATCCAATGAACAAATCCAGGAGTTCGCTTGCACCCGTTTTAAAGCGGAATATCCTGTCTTTAGCAAGGTTAGTGATGTATACGAGATTCTTATTTTTGTACTTAGAAGGGATTCATAAACAAACTTGGTGTTGTATCCAAGATTCATATTAACATAGAAGACTTTCTTGATTTCGCAGTACGTGAATAAGCTTACCATAAGTAAGCTTATTCTTTCAGCTTATTGAAAAATCCCAGTTTGGTTAGCCTTAAAGATAGTTTTTTGAAAAGTTACTCCTAGTAGCATTTCAACAAGCTTTAGGTCTTTTTTCAATTTTTTCCAATTTATCTTTCGGTATATTCTTTTAGGTCATTGTATATTGTCATCTAGCTCATCAGCTAGTTTCTACCAAACATGACCGGCTCCTCAGCTAGTTTCTACCAGACATGACCGGCTCCTCGGCTAGTTTCTACCAGACATGGCTCTTATACTTTTTTCAATTTATCTTTCGGCATGTTCTTTTACGTCATTTTACATTGCCATCAAGCCTATCAGCTAGTTTTTTCTAAACATGACCGTCTCGGTTGGTTTCTACAAAACATGACAAGTTTTTATCAACTAACAGCTAGTTTTTCAGCTAGCAGTTTGCTTATCAACTAGTTTGCCAAATATAGCTTTTTATCGTTTCTTACAATTGGGGAGCAAACCACAACCAATTGCACTACTCATGTTGATCAATGTGATTCAGGTGAACGTTAATGGGAAAGAAGCAGATCCGTTGTACAAGTTCTTGAAATCGAGCAAAGGAGGGTTTCTCGGTGACAGCATCAAATGGAACTTCACCAAGTTCTTGGTGAACAACGAGGGAGAAGTGGTCGATCGCTATGCTCCCACAACGAGTCCTCTGAGCATCGAGGTAAACCATGTTTTTATATCGTTAATTATCCGATTTAAAAAATCGAATGATTTGCTAAATATTTGTGTTTGCATTTGGTGATTGCAGAAGGATATAAAGAAGCTGCTTAATGCTGCTTAAATAAGTTGGTGTCTGATGATGGGTCATTTAGCAATAAATTGTTGGCAAATCCATAATTATTAGTTGTTACTATGTAATTAAGTTATCTATGATGTTAATGTATTAAATTAAAGGTTGGATTATTATTTGGAATATTGGGATTTCTTGACCCATTTTTCTTGTTTCTTGTGAGAAATTTTTAAGTTATATTTGCAAGCAAGTGTTCGTTTGTTAGCAGCTTAACGTGATTTACAGTTTATTCGGTCAGTTATATATGATTGTTTTGTAATGGTTTAATGAGGTAGGAAGTGACATATTCAGTAAGCTTTTAGTATGAAGCTTTTATAGACCCGTCTTTATTAAAAATACGAACTTTTTATTTAAAAAAAAAAAATTCCAAACAAAAGACATTAATTCATAAAGACAGCTTTAGAGGGAATTTTCAGCTCCACATGACTAGTAGTGACTTAATAATATAGTAAATGACTTATTCGGTAATTTTTTAGAGAAAATTTTATGCAACAAGTCAAAAAAATTCCAAATCTGTCCCACTCAATTAAAGAACACACTCCATGAAAATATCCTTCTAAATAAAAATCTTTTCAATTTATAAAGATAGATTAATCTACACAAACATACAAGATTTAATGGAAAACCAACCAAACAAACATTTAATTTCATATAAATAACATTACTCACATTAACATAATAAAAACCAACAATCACAAAGATGTGCTTGATTGGTGTCTAGATATCTCAAGTCCAAATTCAAGAAAGAATTAAAGCTTCTCTTTTGCTCAAATGCAGTGATTCCGGTCGCAAAACAGGTGATCGTTCTAAGATTAGTCGGTTCACATAACGGATTGAATATTCAGGTTAATTAAAAAAACATACCACACAATCATTAATTTCACATAAATAACTTTATTCGCATAAAACATAATAAAAATCAAAAAAATCATATTCTTTAAACTTCATTTCGTATCTTTTGTTTCAGTTTTTCTCTAATTAAAGATGAATAGAATAGTGAATAATTTAAATAATTATGAGTTTATAAAACATAAAATTATTAATTAAATAGTACAAGTTGAATTTATAAATAAATAAATAAATGATGAAATATTATAGCAGTGGAATGTTCTTCAGCCTTGTCCCATGTTCATCTATTCTGTTTTAGTCGTCGACAATCTTCACAGAATTTTCTTTTATTAATTCTTGGTTCCATCTTAGTTCATTTCCATCTCCATTTTGAATCAAATCTAGATTTTCCCCTCTTTTGCTTTGATTTAATGGTGATTTGTGAAATTGCAGATGAAGAAGAAACAACCGGGAAGATGACGACGATGGTGGTGGCGAAGGGGCGGACAAAGGGCCATGCTTGATCGATAATAACTGTGCTGTGCTCTCGTTTGCAAAACCGAAGGTTTTTCCACCAGGATTTGCCATGGTGTTCGTCAACGACGCTTTTGCACCAAAGATCGTTAGCTATTAAGAGGTAAACAAACAATCTCTCACTATGAAATGGGGTCCATAAGATGGAATCTTTTTCATATCCCAGTTTCCACCACCTTCCTCCGATGAACCCTTCCACGAACAGAGTCAATCTGCAAGTAACACTGTAACAGCAATCAATGGAGTTTTATAAAGAGAACATGAAAACCCAAAAAGATTTGAAAAAAAAAATCCCATCAGATTGACCACAGATCACGTCTACCAGAGCAACAATGGCGGATTTGAGTTCCAAACAAACGTCCTAGAGCTACTTCCAAATAAAAAATGCCGAGACTTTCTTCGTTACAAATACGTTAGCCCATGATCCCATCTATAATCTACAGACAAAACGACATAAGGAGGCTAAATAATACGATTAAAGATCATCATCAAATCTCTCTTTTTCACCATTTACAACAACACAGACGCCTATACAGAGATATGCCCAATCATCCACGGGTTAGATCGATCTCAGTATGCGAGTTCCTCAGCTCGTTGCGTGAATCCGGTGGCCAAGCAATCGGGTGTTGGCTAGTTGTCGGGCTAGTCTCATTGGTCTCAACACCTGGACTCTCTTCGTCTCTTGAGGCTGCGTCGTTTTTCGTCTTTCCTTTCGAATTGTTGCTACCATGGACAAAACTGCATACCACCACCTAGAAAAAGGAAGATTTGTGTTACGATTACCGGGTTCTTTAAGGATGCGTTTGATACACTGGACAAAACAGAACAAGGACCAATGTTCCCCATTTGACAGGACTTTTATTCCACCTCCAGCTCTACCTCATTGAACAAGATGAAACAAACCTATATTTTACGAATATAACTTCAAAATAAAACCTAATTCTCTACTAAAACATCAAATATGTCTCACTCTTTACATTTTATTTATTGTATTTTATGTTTTTTAAACTTTCATTTTACTATCCTCAAAATATTATTTTCATATGATTTTTAAATTTTGGTTAATTTATGTAAATTATTAAATATTGATAATAAAAAAATCATATAGAAGAGGTATAAAATAAAAATTGGAAACTACGTAAACTTTTTCGTTGCCATCATTCTAATCGTCTTGACGAAAAGTTTTTAATGATATATTTTGTTATAAAAATATTTATTTTATTATAACTTAATAAATTGCATAAATTAATCAAAATATATAAATGGTATAAACAACTCATTATAGGTAAATTGGTTATTTTATTTGTTATGTCTTGTTCAGTTCTGTCTTACCAAATACTGAATAGTCTCGGATACCAAACGCACCCTAAAGAATGTATAACTTGAAGGTGGTGAGAGAATGATACCTGGACCAAGCTGGATGCGATAAGCCGACCGCCAATTGCACCTCCAATGACATGACCATCGGCACTGCAAACAGATATGCTAAGACCCCCAGTTCGATTGTTGAGTGAACCGGTTTCAGGGAGCAGATAAGAACCTGATAAGCATAGTATCTCGAAACGGCCCTAGAAACAGTTAACGCAACAAAGTAAGGGGCTGTTTGGTTGGTTTTCCATTAAGTTCTGTATGGATAAAGTTGTAGTCTTTCTATACAGATTGAAGCGTTTTTAGTACACAGAAGAAGAAGCATGTTTTTGATTAGGAGGGGCATGTTTCTAAAAAACTTGGCTTTCTGCATAAAGCTCTCCTTACAAGCTTACTGAATAAGCCACTTTCTACATCATTAAATCACTACCAAATAGTCATGTATAGCTGACCGAATAAGTTACGAGTCCTAACAAACAGACCCTAAGATTCATTAACGATAGAGAAAACATATGAAACACCCATATCCAAAACTTCGGACTAATCCAATAACCACTAAATCAATTTAATACCATGGTGGAAACCAGTGATAACCCACAACTTTGAGCTTATAAAGAACTTTGATGAGGTTGACCCCACCATCATAATGGTACAAGGATCGGCTCTTGATACCATTTACGCAACTGATTGGCCTAATAACCTTCAAATCAACTTAAAACCATGGTGGAAATTGTTGGTATTCCACAACTTTAAACTTATAAGGAGCTCATAAACCTAATTTTCATTCATTTGAAACGGGTTGTTACAGCACTCGTAAGTTATAAACAACCCTATAAAGTATTTAACTGCACACCGTTTGGCGGCAAAGAAAGGGGGTTGTCAAACAATCTAACCTCATACGTCACTGTGCCACCAGTAGACGTAAACTGGCGAAGTGTCACTGCAGAAATCGCACCATTGCCTGACAATATGCATAGAGCCCTTGGCCTTTGTTGTGCGAATGACAGAACTTTTGCTGCAACATCCTACCACATATAACCTTGCAATTAGCTTCTTTTTGCAAATGTTTTCATTAACAATTTAATCCATTCGTTCATGGATGAAAACGGTCAAATCATAGACGAACGATTCAATCTATTTGTTCAGCATATCAACTTTTGAGATGGCAACGGTAAACGAATTCAAAATGCAATCTAGTAAATATGATGGGTCCTCTGGTTAAATGACCTTCTGACAGGTTTGAGAATGTCACTTCCATACACAAGAATGCCTAGAAATCTGTCAGAAGGTCATGGTTTCAAAAAGCCTTTGTTAGGAGGTCATTTAGCTGAATAACCCTACACGTGATGGGGTACCTCTCCAGTTGCAACATGGATGATGTGAGGCGTAAAAGCCAGTCCCGCTGAATTACTCATCCATTCACCTAATGAGGGAAAAGAAATGTCAATTACACACGAAACAGAAAAGACCGAATGAAATCAAAAGATTCAAGAAAATCCAAAAGAAACTTTGCACTTAAAAACACCAACAAAGGGCATAAACACCAAGAATAGAATCAAACTCTAGATATAGTATAAGATAACATAACCCAATTTAAAGAATCAAATCAAGAAAGATTACACTAGATTCAAGAATCATTAACCACACCATGATTTTGCTTCCAACTTCCTCTAAAGTAATTTATATAACATGTCGGCACATAAAGCTCAAATCTTGATGATAAAATGATCAAAATAACCACAAGGGTGGTGTCTGATTGGTTTTGAGCTTGGCTCCAAATGTCAAAAGTATCAGGAGATCCCAGGTTCAAATCCAAGGAGGAATAATAATCCCCTTAAATGCAACGGGCTGGATATCCAGGTTAATTATAAAAAAATGATCAAAATATGCTTTGAATTAATCCCAAAAATCATTCTTTATGACTTTACCAAATTTCACAAGAAGAATATACTAAATATCACATCATGAAAACAAGTTAATTTGGGAAGTAAACATACCAACATTTGCAAGTCTTTGCTTCCTACCACTACCAGGAGGCCTCCCTCGGTTCTTTTTCGGGGTCGGAGTGACTGAACCAGGTGAAGCAGCCACCGATGCCGGTGTTAACCCTAATGCCATATGTGACCCATCTGGTCCATATTTCCTTGGCCTCCCTCTCTTTTTCTTGACAACAGAATCAGACCCACTTCGAGGGGTGGTGTTAATGGACATTGCACCACCACCACCGCCGCCACCAATACCACCACCTCCTCCACCACCACCACCCATGTTAATGCCATGGGGGAAAACAGGTGATATGTTGTGTTCCATTTGGTATGTTATGGAAGATACCCTGATGTTGCTATGGCCATGAGGAGACATGTTAGGGTTTGATTGGGTTTTGAAACCAGGTGGTGGAACATGCAACCCACCACCCTGTGAACCCGACCCGGCATGAGAACCCGACCCACTAACCCCTCTGTTGAGATAAAACGATGGCATTCCTTCCCTTCCATCCATGCATTTACCCACTAATCTTTCACCCGCCAAACCACAAAAATTAACAAAATTTTGACAACAAACACCGCTCTTCCCCTAAAAAAATCTACTTTTTTCCAAAGAAACCAAAATTGAGCATCAAAACAGAGAATTTAAACAAAAACCCACAAAATTCTGTGAAGGGTTTTTCATGGGTTTGTCAAGAAACAAAGCAAAAAATAAAACAAACCCATAAAATGAAGAGAAATTCGATCAAGATTGAATACAAAGTTTGGTGCGAAGCTTGAAGCTTTACAGCAAAAGATTTAAACACAGAAACAGGGGCTTAAAAATGAAATAATCCAAGATCAAAGAAAATAAGATAAAATATTAGCCCCAGATGAATGAATCTTTGCAGATAGGCAAAGAAGAATGTTAATGATGTAAATACACAAAAAGAAGAAGATGAAACCCTAGATTTGAAATTGAAGAGGAAGTGAGAAACAAGAGGAGTTTTGGGAAAGGGAAAGAGGGGATAGAGAGTGGGGAAGGGTAAAGACAAAAGTGATCTGATAATAGTAAAAAAATAGCTTTTTTGAATTAAAGTAATCGATAAATTATATTTTTTTATTAAAATACAAATAAATATCAAAAAGTAAACATTAATCTTTTAGCTAAATACCCATTTTTTTATTTAATTTAATAATTAAAATAAATATTTTAATCAGAGCTTTGATAAAAATATCTATTTTTTAGAATATAGTGAAAAAGAAAATAGATATTTGATAACTCAAACTAATACTTATTTATTATAAGATTTTATAAATTGGTTTTGGTATTTTAATAACTTTAGATTTTTTTGAAATGAAGAAAAATTAAGTTTATGTTTTAATTTTTTTTCCTTTGATATATCCTTTTTTCTATTTTAAAAAAAAAAAGTAGAAAAGGGAGTAAAAATATCTCCAAATATAGAAAATCTTCAAAATTAAATGTTATTAAAAAGAAATATATTATTTTATTGTTTTCGGTAATTGAATACTAAAATTTTGTTAAGATAATAAATTTACATTAAATGTTTTATTAATACAGTTAATATTATAATCTTCAAAATAAAAAAATTATAAATTTAATATAATCATTCGAAAATTACCAGAATCTTATTTTTGAGAAACTGTTCAAATACGTTCTTAAGAGACATAAATGACAAAACAACGTTTTTCTAAATGGTTTGTAAATTTTTTCATATATAAAACAAAATCCAAATGAAACATTTATTTATAAAATATTGTTGAATATTGAAAATGAAAATTTTATTTAATTCTTATTAAAAGGAAAATTAAATAAGTATAATACATTCATATTTATACATATCTATATATATATATATATATATATATATATATATTATTGACATAGTATTTCAAGGATTCGTTTGACATTCGCATCTTAGACATCTATATATAAATTATTAAATTATTTTTATTTTTTAAACCTTAGCACATTTATGATTATAATTTAATGCATCATAGATGTTCTGTTTTTTAAATTAACAGTATAATCTATTTATTTATTTTTTTATTAACATGTATATTCAACCCGCTATGTGAGCCGACTAATCCTAGGACGACTACTTGCTTTGTAGATAGCTCGGAGTCACCGCATTTGAACCTCCGTGGTCACAAGGGAATTTTTAATCCTCCTTGGATTTGAACTTGGGACCTCCTAGTACTTTTGACCTTTGGAGTCAAACTCAAACCAATCAGACACCACCCTTATGGTTAATATAATCTATTTATTTATTAATTTAGCATACATTATATATTTTTTATTACAAAATAAAATATAAAAAATAACAAATATCAATAAAACTCAAAATAAAATATGTACTTCTTCTATATATAGATCTTGTAATAAGAAACTTCAAATAAGAGCATTTTTAATTGAGCTTTTTAAACTCATTTTTCATACAAGTTATTTTCAAACTTATCAAACTAAAAACTCATATAAAAATCCACAACAGTATTTTTTATAAGAACCCTTTTGTGGGTCATATATATTTCGTTAACATAAAAATTTATTATACATTTAATAAATAAATTAAAATAATATAAAAAAAACTAGAAATTATTATTTCACACCAACTTTAAAGTAAGAATTAAAGTTTTTATACGAAAACTTAAAAGGATGAAGTTTTTATAATTATTATATTTTTTAATCGGTTAAACGACGATTTTAATTTCAGTATAAAGAAAATGATTTGTCTTTTTATCTTATAATTAAAAGAAATAATTGGAAATTATATATTTATAAAATAATTTAAGAAAATAGGTACCCCTACGGTCTAAAAGGGGTAGGATAGGGTACCCTATGTAGAGGGTCATCTTGTGATGGGGCATGAATGATGTACTTGCACAAAGGGGGGTGTGGTGCAGGAGTGGGGACACAATAAGTCAACAGTTTTTGAAAACAAACAAATAAAGTGTAAAAGGGAAAGTGAAAGGTGGGTGCCTTATTTTTATTTCTTTATTTCATTATTTTTTTTTTCTATATTTCATTTTTTTTTTTTAATATTCATATATCATTTTTTATTAATGAGTCGGGCTTTACAGCAGTAATGTTCAGCTCGGTTCGTTTGAAAACTCGATTGAATTTTTCGAGTCAAGTCGAGTTGAACATTTTTTGAGTCAAACATGCTCATGCATTTATTAATCATACAATAAAAGTATAAAAATTGCCGAGACTTGAATAAATGAGTTAATCGATCGCGAGTTCGAACCCATGAACGAGCATCGAGCTTGAGTTAGATAACTCAAAAAATATTCGAGCTCAAGCTCGAACCTTATTTTGAAAAGTTAATCGAGCTCGATTAACCTACTACTCGACTCGTGTACACCCTTAAATGCATCTAATAGAAGATATATCAAGCTCCTTATAAGACAATTTTTGTTCCTTTCCCTAACCAATGTGGGATTTTATTATCCACCTCCCTTGGGAGCCCAGCGTCTTTGTTGGCACACTAGTCTGATTCCCGGTTCTGGTACCATCTATAACATATTAGACTAACTATACCAGATATTTTCGTTTTGTTCACACACCTGAACTCACGGTATTAAAACGCATATAGTGAAAGAGGTGTCAAGCCATTTATAAGACAATTTTTGTTCTCCTACTCAATCAACATGAGATCTTACAAAATGGCTAAATGTATTTCTATATATTGCTACTGGTCATTTTTTTAGTTACATGCTTTAAAATCATATTTTACTTTTTAGCTTATGAGTTGTTTGGCAGTTGTTGAATGATTTTGTGCAGAATGATTAAGTGGTCAGAATAATTAACAGACTCTCATGATATAGTGGAAAATGAAATATAATTGTTCAATAATTGTTTACAATGAAATTATAGTGTTGAATGGTTAAGGGAAGCCAATATACAAAACCATTCAAAGGGTTTTAAGACCATTAAGGGGCAAACTTTTTTTGTCAAATAAGATTCACCTCTTAATAATTTAGAGATTATCTTTTAATAAAATTATTAAAAGGTAAAAAATGTTCTTTTTGTATATGGTAAGATTCATTTATTTGTTGATTACATTTTATTAAAATAATGAATCTGCCAATAAGATGTTTTGTCACATATCTTGTGCCAAATACTTTATAACTCGATACATGTGATTGTATAGCCATTCACTTTTTATGGCCCAGTTTTAAAATAGCACTGTATACACATATAATTATACACGCAGGACCACATTGTTATTTCTAACAACTTGTGGTTGTTGACTATTCATCGTTTCAAATAAGTCTGCATTTCCAAAAAAAAAATATCCTATAAGTGGTGATGTTGCAATCAGTGTTTAGGTGATATGATTCAGTAGGCAACAATGATGGTAATTAACAATCCTTGTTTTTTATCTCCTAATACTGTATGCATTTAAATGGTGATATGATGGGTTTTCAATAGATTGCAACAAAACAATTAGTATCACATCATCAACCATCTTTATTTCCTGCTGGCAGTATTGATATTTGAATATGGGTATTGAGAATGAGGTGTGCCTCAGTGCAAGAAGATTGTGATTTTGAAACCATATATCACCCACAAAGTAACCATTTACTATACAAACAATGGGGTGCTTGAAAGTTGGTCATACGTAAAGATAGTTGATGAAGGTTCATGTCAGCATACTATCCAGTTGACTAGCAATCAAAATGTTCTCTGTATATATATATATATATATATATATATATATTATTGACATAGTATTTCAAGGATTCGTTTGACATTTGCGTGATGTCTGGAATACCCACTCGTGTCTTATGGAATTTCCTGTGTTTGGGGGCAATAGTTATAAGTTGGTTTCACACTTAAATGGGATTGGCCATACTTGCCAATGTCAATCCATTATCATATAAAAGTAGGTTATTTTGCTCAATGTGATATGGAACAAATGTTAAAATGCAAGCTCCGAAACCCTTTCCACATCAATGGTCCCCATGAAAAGATCTCAATGATAGATAATTAAGTTACTGACATGTCAATGGGAAAAATGTACGAGAATTTATGGCATATTTGTTAGTAGTTCAATGAACATAATGAGACTTACAACTTATTCGGTCAATTATACTTGACTATTTGGTTGTGGCTTATTCAATAAGCTTATATGGGGATCTTAATGTAGAAAGTCAATTTTTTTTCCCAAACATGCTCCTCCCAATTAAAAAAACGCTATTTCCATATATGAAAAAACTCTCACAAACAAAGACTTTTTTAACTCATGCGGATAGATTACAGACAACTCTATTCACACTGGACATAATGACAAACCAACCAAACAACCTTTTAGTTTATAACCACATGAAGTTGTACATGGGCCATGATAACACATGCCAAATAGATCGAAGGCTCGAAGCAATGCATGGTGAGTGGCAAGACCTAAGCAGTGTATGTGAAATATCGTCTCGCCACACACCGCAGATATATATGTCTCCATCTACTTCTTTCTGAAAGAATGTGAATAATCGATCATTTGTAGCCTTCTTTTAGATATTGATTGTAACACCCTCATTTTTTTTTAGAATGTTACGTAGTCTGAAACAAATTTTTAAATAAATATTCCAAAAGACGGCTAAAATAAAACCGTTTAAATCGTTTACAGCGGAAGTCTTTGAATCAACCAAAAATTAACTTAAGTTATAACCCACCTCAAACCAGGTTAAGTTACAAAAGATCGACACAACGCTGCTAGACAAACGACTAAAAATAAGATGATAATTAGCAACTCTCTAAGCGTGTCCTTTGCCCTTATTCAACCTCGAGCTACATGGCCCTGAGATGCATACTATAGTCAGCTTATAAAGCTCAGTGAGTTCATGGTTTGCGTGAATAAAATCATATATTGACATATATATATATATATATATATATATATATATATATGGCATATATGCATGTTTTATAGTAAAAGTCACAGCTTTAAGAAAATATATATTTAAA